GCACTTGGGCCATCCTCTAGTGCCTTCCTGGGCCACAGCAGAGAGCTGGACTGGAAGAGAAGCAACCAGGACAGAACCGGTGCCCCAACCGGGATGAGAACCTGGAGTACCGGCGCCACAGGTGGAGGATAAGCCTAGTGAGCCGTGGTGCTGGCCGGCATTAATTATTTTTAATATATCCTGAAGCAGCAACCAAAACTTGGAACCATCTCCCCAACAGATATTAGGCTTTAAGTCTGAGAATACAACAGGTAGTGACTCAATAACCAACTGAAAGAAATTTCATTTTCTGTTTCGTTGACCTTGAGTTCAGAGCAACTGAGTAGTTGTATCTATGTAAATAATGCTTTCACAAGGAACATCATTATAGTCCCATTACATGTCACAGTTTCCCACAGCCATTGTTACGCTCTTAATGAACAGACAAGCTGGGATGGATGAGGGTCACTGCATGGGATAACATATTGAGTTGCTAGGAAATCTGTTGCTACGGAGTAGGTTCAAAGAAAAAATGCTGGCCAATACAAACTCATGGCAACCCAACAAAGACAAGACTACCAAAGAGTCATATCCTGCATGAATGAGGTAAAGAACACCAAGCAAATAACTTCACCAAGCTTAGGTGCATAGAATGAGGAGTATACAATATGGGTGCTCAAAAGAGGCAGTTAAGTTGTTCACAACCACAGATGAATGCAGGGATTATACCAGTTATATTTTATATTACTTCCTTTTCCTTTCATCCCCTAGTATCTTATAAAATAATACTGTGTATTTATATTAACCCATAGACAAAGTACAAAAGTCCTATAGACTAATAAATTTAATCAAATTTGATGACGAATATAAGACATGTACAACTATGATACACCTACAGATATTTCAAAGATACAACCAAAGTTCAAATAAAATATAATTAAAATATAATTTTATTTTGGTGCAAAACTTTTGAAATCCATATATAAAAGTTCATGAAAAGTGGCCAGCACTGAAGCTACTTTACCGGCAAAGACCACAGAAAATAGCCCAAGTACTTGGAACCATGCCACCCATATAGAAGGCTCAGATCAAAGTCCAGGATCCTGGCTTGGGCCTGGAAGAGGCCTGGGAGTGGCAACCATTTGGAGAGTGAATCAGCAAATGGAGGATATCTTTTCTGTCTCTCCCTCTCTCTGTAACATTGATTTTAAAATAAATAAGTAAATAAAGCTTTTTTTTTTTTTTTGACAGGCAGAGTGGACAGTGACAGAGAGAGACAGAGAGAAAGGTCTTCCTTTTGCCGTTGGTTCACCCTTCAGTGGCCGCCGGGGCCGGCATGCTGCAGCCGGTGCACTGCGCTGATCCAAAGGCAGGAGCCAGGTGCTTCTCCTGGTCTCCCATGGGGTGCAGGGCCCAAGCATTTGGGCCATCCTCCACTGCACTCCCTGGCCACAGCAGAGAGCTGGCCTGGAAGAGGGGCAACCGGGACAGAATCCGGCGCCCCGACGAGGACTAGAACCCGGTGTGCCGGCACCGCAAGGTGGAGGATTAGCCTATTGAGCCACGGCGCCAGCCTAAATAAAGCTTTTTTAAAAAGAATTTATTTAAAGTTATGAAGAAGTTTCATGAAAAATATGTAATGTCGCTTCACCTCTTCGTGGAGGAACGACACAGGACCCTGCGCTGTTCTTTTGTCTGCTCGGCCCTCCCCGGGTTTGCTGCTGGTCCTTCCCGGGTTGGCTGCTGACCCTTCCACCTCCGTGGAAGGGCGGCTCCCCCTGCCACTTTCCCCACTTGCGCGGGGGAGCGGCACACCGCCGGCTGGCTCTCTCGGGGGCTGCTCAGATGTTATCCGGATGTTCCCTTTAGATATTCCTTCAGATAGATGTTCCTGGTTCATGTTGTCTCTCTCCTCCTTTATAGTCCTCTTCCACCAATCCCAACTCTGCTACCCACACGCCGAGTACGCTGCTCTCCTCCAATCAGGAGCAGGATCAGCTCCTGCAGCTTGTCAAACTGATGAGGCAGCTGCGTAGAGGTTGTTTGGTCTCTCTCTCAGCGCCATATTGTGGGAGAGCAGATGCATAGAATAAGTCTTAATTCCAGTAACTTAGTCTAGTCCAAGTTGCTCCCCACATGTAACATTATGAACTTAAAACTGTATATATTGATACATGAAAGTTGTTCCCTTCTTATAAATAAAAAAGCAAAAAAAAAAAAAAAGACAAAAGGAAGTACAGTGCAAGAAAATAAAAATCTGAACAAATATTAAGGGAAAAAACCATAGTCCAGCAGGAAAATAGGAATAAGCTCTATACAATAATCAAAAGAAAAAAATGAATTTATAATTTAATTATAATTTCCCAAGTTTTCTGAAATACTGTACACACCAAAAGGGGAAAAAAGTAATACAGTGAAGGCATCTGCACTGTGCCTTTTCCCAAAGACTACATTTAAATGTTTCATCCTGTGCACATAGAACATATCCTGTATCCTAAACTTATTCCATCCCCAAAACACTGCTTTGCAGACTCCAGACAAAAAGCGGTGAAACATTTTACAAGTCCCAGTCACTGTTTAACGTGGATATTGTCATTGGCAGACATGGAAGCTCTTGAACCCAATTATTATTAAAGATTTGTTTATTTATTTGAAAGTCAGAGTTACACAGAGAGAGGAGAGGCAGAGAGAGAGAGAGGGCTTCCATATGCTGGTTCACTCCCCAGGTGGTTGCAACGGCCACAGCTGGGCCGATCCAAAGCCAGGAGCCAGGAGCCTCCTCTGCGTCTTTCCACACGGGTGCTTGGGCCCAGGGACTCGGGCCATCTTCTACTGCTTTCCCAGGCATAGCAGAGAGCTGGGCTGGGAGTGGAACAGCTGGGGCTCAAACCGGCACCCATATAAGATGACGGCACTGCAGGTGGCAGCTTTATCCACTGTGCCACAGGGCCAGCCCAAAACCCAAATTTAAACATGACAAAGAAGTCATAACATTAGATAGGAGTGCACACTACAGTTTTTTTTTTTTTATTCCATCTGCAAACATTGAATCAAAGTTGAGGGAAGCAAGTTTTACTGATTTGTCCATAGAACACTTCCCACCATAAAAAATAAAATATGTTATTTTAAAAAAGAAAAAAAAAACATATGCATGGATTTCAAAATAGAAAATAATACATATACAGGGCAGGCGCTGTGGCATAGCAAGTAAAGCTGCATCCCATACGGGCACCAATTTAAGTCCTGGCTGCTCCACTTCTGATCCAGCTCTCTGCTATGGCCTGGGAAAGCAGAAGATGCTCCAAGTCCTTGGGACCCTGCATCCACATGGGGGACCCAGAGGTATTTCCTGGCTCCTGGTTTCAGATCTACCTAGCTCGATCCATTGAAGTCATTTAGGGAGGAAGCCAGTAGATAGAAGACCTCTCTCTCTCTCTCTCTCTCTCTCTCTCTCTCTCTCTCTCTCTCTCAGTCTCTGCCTCTCTGTAACTTTACCTTTAAAATAATAAATAAATCTTTAAAAATAATAAAGAGAAAAAGAAAATAATACACATGCAATAATGTAACAATTACACATAGGTAATATTACCGGTATGGTTGAAAATTTATAAATCAAAATAGGGGTTGAAATAAGTGCATATGTATTTTACATAAATAAATTAAATACAGAGAACTTTAAATGTATATACTTAAATCTTAAATAGGACTACCTGAAAGGGATAAAGGAAGAGCTTGACAATCAGTTCTTGCTTTGTATGTCTATCACATAAAATTATAGCATGCCCATGCATTAATTTTGTAATAAAAAGTTAAGTATTAGAAATAAGAAATGTGTTGCAAAATCTCATTTTGCAGAAACATGAATTTATTTAAAGACAGCATCACAGTAATAGATTTTTAAAAAGACACAAAGTGGAAGATATGAAGTACTTCAAAAAGTTAGTGGAAATGGAATTAAAGATAAGTTTATTTTATTGGAAGAAAATTAAAAAGCTATGCAAAAGATTTCTGTAAAAATTTCATGGAAAACATACAACAAAAAAACCTTATGGGGCCAGCACTGTGTCATAGAAGTTGAGGCCATCGCCTGCAGTGCCGGCATCCCATGTGGGCACTGATTCAATTCCTCGCTGCTCTACTTCCAATCCAGCTCTCTGCTGTGCCCTGGGAAAGCAGTGGAAGTTGGCTCAGGTCCTTGGCCCCTGCACCCATATGGGAGACTCGGAAAATGCTCCCAGCTCTTGGCTTTGGATCAGCCCAGCTGTGGCAGTTGCAGCCACCTGGGGAGTGAACCAGCAGATGGAAGACCTCTCTCTCTCTCTCTCTCTCTCTCTCTCTCTCTGCCTCTCTGTAATTCTGTGTTTCAAATAAATGAATAAATCTTTAAAAAACAAACAAACAAAAAACCTTGGCAAAGATTTGAAATGTTTTTCACCAAAAATTCCTCTCTTAATTCCACCTTCCCATAAAATTTTGATGTGCACACATATATCATTCAAAATTTTAGTAGTGATTATCCCCACTGCGGTGGTAGTATGCTAGATTACATGAACTTTCTTATCTGCTTCAATATGCACTTAACACATTTCATATAACTACTGTAAATTACTTTGTAATTTAAAACATGTGCTAGTTAAATTTGTTTTATTAGCATTTGCAGGATGGAAGAATGGCTCATACAGTTACATTACCTTTCAATTATTTTATTTTAAGACATTTATAAGAAATATAAACATTTGATATACACATAAAAGTTTTTATATACTATATTTCAGATGTTGGAAACTCCTTAAAAGATGTTTATTGCAGTTTTTTGTTTACTTAGATTCATTTTGAAGCTATTGTATCTGTAAGAGTATTTCCCCAATTTTTTGTCTGTAAGTAAAAATCTGGAGCTACAGAAATTTCCATGTGCTATTCCACATAGTCAAGAATATATGTGTATTTATTTTATTAGTGTATTTTTATTCCCACTTTAAATTCCAATTACAGTTATTAATAAAAATTAAGTGATTACATACCACTGCCACTCCTGCAGAATAATGAGGAGCACATATCTTTCCAGAAAACACTGCACCCACATAATCTGGATAATCCCTGTAACTAAATAAATAAATAAAATTAATCACTGTAATGAACAATTTAAATTTGAAAATTTCTGATGAACTAAATATGTAGTTCATTAAATCCTAATCGGATGTAATTTGAAGTACAATCATTCCATATGCCCTTCCAAAGTATGATGATATTATTTAAAAATTGCTTTAAATATATTTGATTTTCTAAGACATGCAAGAAATACAAGATTTTGATGTCTTTACTGCATTCATCACATTTGGTTATGGTTACCAAAGCCTTTGATCCAAAAAATTTTATTGAATAACAACAAAATATTTTTATTTATGAACCAAAAATTGTGACTCCCACACAGAACAACTAAACAGTTTTTCATAGGAGTAATTTAATGTATCACAACTAAATAGTATCATTTCATGTCTGAGTATGAATCTAAGCTCCCTCTCATATGATACTGTTCCCAAAACTTTACATGAATTAGTCCATTTAATTGTCATAGCAACCAGTGATATAGATATTTTTATTTCCATTAAAGAAATAAAACATCAGATGGGCAGGATATGTAAATCTCTCAAGGCAGAACAATTAAGGAGAGGTACTGAAGGACTTGCACTTGAGCATTCTGAATACAGATCCATACTCTCAAGCTTGTACAAAGCATAAATGATATACACATGTGCACACACACACACAAACACACACACAGACATCTTTGGAACCCTCCACCCAAACATTCCAGAAAATATGTAAAGAATTTGCTCATGAATTCTCCAAAAAGGTTACAGAATAATTAACTCCAATATTTTTCAAACCATTCTAAAACACTGAACAGGATGGAACTCTCCCAAAATCTTTATAAGGCTCACATCACTCTGATACCAAAATGGAACAGAGACACAAAGCAAAAACAAAACTACAGATTTATAAACTTGATAGGCAGATACAAAGATTCTCGACAAAATATTAACAAACCAACTCTAAAACCACATCAAAAAGATCATTTTTAATGAACAAGTGGAATTTGTCCTGTTCAACACTCAGAATTCAATAAAAAACACAAATCACATTAACAGAATGAAAAGCAAAAACCATAGATCACTGCAATATATACAGAGAAAGAGTTTCCTAAGATTTAACATCCCTTGATGATAAAAACCTGCAACAAGTTAGGTATAGAAGGAACATACCTCAAAATTATACAGGCTATATATAACAAGACAAAATCCAAATAATTGAATGGGGTGAAGTTGTAAACATTTCCCGTGAGATATGGAACAAAACAAGATAAGCACTTTTGCCACTTACTCAATATGAGACAGAAGTATTAGAAAAGGAATTAGGGAAAATAAATAAATAAACAGCATAAAGTCAGAAATTAGTAAATCAAAATATTCATGTTTGCAAATAACATGATGTTGTATATTGAAAAACCTATATATATACATATATATGTGTGTATATATATATATATACACACCACAAAAACCTGTTAAAAATTGTAAGCAAATTCAATACAGTTGCAGGTTACAAAACAAATATACAAAATTGCAGCATTGTGTATGCTGTTAACTCACTGAAAGAGAAAATAAGAAATCCCATTCAAAGTAGCCAACAACAGAAATAAAATACTTAAGAATAACTTTAACAAAAGAAGTGAAAGATCTCTACAGTGAAAATTACAAAGCTTTGAAGAAGGCCGGCGCCGAGGCTCAATAGGCTAATCCTCCACCTTACGGCACCGGTCCTGGTCGGGGCACCGAATTCTGTCCCAGTTGCCCCTCTTGTAGGCCAGCTCTCTGCTGTGGCCCGGGAGTGCAGTGGAGGATGGCCCAAGTGCTTGGGCCCTGCACCCCATGGGAGACCAGGAGAAGCACCTGGCTCCTGCCTTCAGATCAGCGCAGTGCACCGGCCACAGCGCACCAGCCGCGGCGGCCATTGGAGGGTGAACCAACAGCAAAAGGAAGACCTTTCTCTCTGTCTCTCTCTCTCACTGTCCACTCTGCCTGTCAAAAAAAAAAAAAAAAAAAAGCTTTGAAGAAACAAACTGACAAAGATACAAAAAAATGGAGGGACATTTCTCATGAATTGAAAGAAATAATATCATCAAAATTTCTATATATTACTTAAGAATATTTTGATGATATTAATTCTTCTAATTCACAAACCAAAGTGTTTTTTTTCATTTTTGTATGTCTTTTTCTATTTCTTTCCTTAATGTTTTGTAATTTTCATTGTACAGATCTTTCACATCATTGGTTAAATTTATCCCAAGCTATTTAATTTTTTGTAGCTATAGTGAAGGATACTGATCTTACAATTTCTTTCTCAGCTATGGCAGTATTTTGTATACAAATGCTATTGTTTTTTGTGCACTGATTTTATAATCTGCAATACTGTCAAACTGTCTTATGATTTCCAATTGTCTCCTAGTGGAGTCTTTTGGTTCCCCTATGTATAAGATCATGTTATCTACAAACAGGCATAATTTGACTTCCTCCTTTCCAAAGTAATCTATAGGTTCAATGCAATCGCTATCAAAATAACATTGATATGCTTTATACAATGAGAAAAGAAATCCTAAATTTTATATGCAACCACCAAAGATCAGAATAGCCAAATCAGTCCTGAACAAAAAACAATCAAACTGGAGGCATTACAATTCCTGCCTTCAAAGTATTCTACAAAGCTCTAGTGATAAAACAGCCTTGTACACACATAATAACCAACATATGAATCAATGGACAGATTAGAAGGTCCAGAAATTAATCCATGAACATATACCCAACTGACTTTTGACAATAGTATTCAGGAAATACATTAAAGTAAGGACAAACTTCAATAAACTGTTCTGGAAAAACTGGATATACATTTAGAAGAATGAAAGTAGACCACTACCATTCATCATATATAAAAATCAACTTGATATAGAACAAAGACCTAAATTTAAGACCTGAAGACTATGGCTGCTGGAAGCAAATTGAGGGAACCTGTCCAAGGCACTGGAGACAAAGGATTAATACCTAGAATATATCAGAGACTCAAAAAAACTCAACAACAAAACAACCCCCAAGAAATGGGAAAAAAGGACTTAAGAAATGGGAAAAGGACTTCAGCAGACAGTTTTCAAAAGAAGGGAAAAGAAGTACAACAAATATATGAACAAATGTTCAACATCACCAGCCACCAGGGATAATGCAAATGAAAATCACAATAAAATAACACAACACTCCTACCAAATCGAAAAATCCAAAAGAGAGTAACAAATGCAGGCAAGGATGTAGAGAAAGGGAACAACTTATATATTGTTGTTGGGAATGTAAAGCAGTGCATTCCCTGTGGAAAACTATATGGAGATTTCACAAAAAGAATAGAAATGTAATCCAGCTATCCCACTCCTGTGTCTATACCCAAAAACATGAACACATTGAATCAAACAGATACCTGCACCACAATGTTTATATCAACCAAACTATGGAATAGTGAAAATATGGAATCAACCAAGGGTCTGTGATCTGGTTAATAAAGAACATAATAAAAATAATTATATATACATATATGATGGGATATTACTCGGCTACAAAAACAATGAAATTCTACCATTTGCTTCAAAATGGATGCAACTGGAAGACATTATGTTGAGTGAAATAAGCTGGACACAGAAAGACAAATACCACGTGTTTTCCTTTATATTTGGGAGCTAAAATTTAAAAAGACAAAAACCCTCAAAAACAAAAAAGTAATGCCTGTGTACCAATACTGCTTTACATATAATTTTGTCAAACTTTGTTTTATCTTTGTCAAGCCAATGGTTAAAAATGTTATGCTATCACATTTTAATGATCTGTTAGTTCATATAACCATTTGATTATTGTTTGTAGCCCTGTGTACACTTAACTAGGGATTTTTTTTTCTTGTTTATCTCTTTATTTAGTGGAGTATTAAGCCCTTGACTATTATGGTAATTAAAAATGTTATCTCGGGACATGTATTGTGGAGTAGTGGGTAAACCTGAGATCTATGACGCTGGCATCCCATATGGCCACTGGTTCGAGTGGTAGCTGCTCCACTTCCAATCCAGATCCCCGCTAATGGCTTCCACAAATCAACAGAAGATGACCCAGGTATCTGAGCACCTGCCATCCACATAAGAGACCCGGATGAAGCTCCAGGCTCTTGGCTTTGCCCTGAATCAGCTCTGACCATTGCAGTGAATTGGAGAGTAAATCACAAGATAGAAGACCTCTCTGTGTGTAATTATGCCTTTCAAATAAAGAAATAATTTTAAAAACTGTTATCTGAAAAAGAAAGGACAGAAATGAAATGGCACACACTGCCATTTCGTACCTAAGCATCATTTCCATGTTCCAAGAATCTGAGGGTCATGGTTTCTCAGTTAAGCAATGCAATATTAAAAGAATAATGAAGGTGTGGACATTTGGCCTAGCCATTAATCATGCTCATCAGGACATCCACATCCCAAATTGAAGTGACTGGGTTTGACATCCAGTTCCAGCTCCTGCTAAGGAGGACCCTGGAAGGCAGTATCAACGGATCAAGTTGGTGGATTCTTGCTACCCATGGGGGAAATCTGAATTGTATTCTCAGCTATTACCTTTGGTCTCTTGACTATTGTAGGCAATGAATGAAACAATGGAAGGAAAGTATGCCTGTCTGCATGTCTCTTTCTCTTTGAATCTCAAATAAATAAACTGCATCTCAGGGGAAGAAACTTTAAAGTAGAATCCAAGAGGATTAAATTAAAATATATTGTTGATGTGATGCAAATACAAAAAATGGTAAGTGAAGGGCATCCTGAAAACCCTTTCAAAGGTGTGTTCTTGTTTCAGAAGACATGGAAAATAATTGTGGGTTGAGAATTGAAGTTGTCCATTTTCTGATTATGTTTTGGAGTTAGTGTTCCTAAATGCAGGTATAGTAGGTAGTTAGACAATGGCTCTTGACGATGTTTTTATAAATAAAATAAAAACAATATGCGAAACACATTACTTTTTTCATAAAGATTTTCA